GATCCACCCACCTTGGCCTCCCAAAGTACTGGGATTACAGGCATAAGCCACCACGCTTGGCCTTGCAATCTGTATTTGAAAAAAGAGCTGCATTATATATGTTAGGAACATTGAGTTTTAAGGGCAGATTTTTTTTTTTTGAGAGAGAGAGTCTCACTCTGTCGGCCAACTGGAGTGCAGTGGCACGATCTCAGCTCACTGCAACCTCGGTCTCCGGGGCTCAAGCAATTCTCCTGCCTCAGCCTCCCAAGTAGCTGGGATTACAGGCGTGTGCCACCACACCCGGCTAATTTTTGTGTTTTTAATAGAGATGGGGTTTCACCATGTTGGCCGGGCTGGTCTCAAATTCCTGAGCTCAGGTAATCCTCCCGCTTCAGCCTCCCAAAGTGCTGGGATTATAGGCATGAGCCACTGCGCCCGGCCGAGTGTGGAATTTTTTTTAATTGAAGGAGACATTAGACATGATCTAATTCAACCCTTTTTATAGGTGAGAAAACTAAAAGTTGATAGAAACTGGTGTGAAACTCAGATCTCCCAGTACCCACCCTTCATTGCTGTTTCCAGTATGCCATGGGGCCTTCGTGTGTGTGTGTGTGTTTGTGTGTGTGTTTATATTTGGTCAGACATCTTCTTACACTCCTGGGCTAAGCAGCAATAACTCATAAATTTTTGACATCTACATTTCTGACTTAAAAATGCTTTTAATGCTACTGATATTTAATCAGTACCTATCAGATGACTGCTCTCATATTTTAAACCTGGAATTACAGATTGAAGACATTCAGAAAAGAGAACTTGTACCTTCTCTTGAGAGAATTCTTGAAAAGTACAGATAAGTTTGACAAAATTACAATTCATGTATCTTTAGACATTTTAATCTCAGCCACGCCTAATATGCAGCCCCCAAATATAAAATTACTAATCAACACACATGGTCCCGCAATTCTAGATGTTTAGTATAGTACCATTATTTGCCTAATGGTAAGAGAAGTTGTGCTTCTAGAACACGTGAAAAATTAAGTGTTTCTTTTGATAAGGCATTCCAAGAATATCCTATCTAGTTTCTTGAAATTTCTGAGCTTAATTAGAAAATTTAACTCACTTTTATTACAGATGGAATTGTCATTACAGAAAACCAAAAACAAATAATAAAACTGAACAAATCATTTATATTTGACGTTTTGATGACATTTCAATGCAGAGGAAGGGACATTTTCATTTAAATGCTTTCACAGTTTTGCCATACTTTCACAGTTCAATTCCACTCTTGTTTGCAACTAAAAAACCCAAACACTAAAAAAAAAAAAAAAAAAAAAAAAATCACATTAATCATAATTTAAGGACTTAGTAAAACTATGTTTTAGGAATTTGTACAATAAACATGAAATAAGTCACCTGATCACTCCCCACCCTCAGCCCATTCCACAAACCCATCTTCCCTCCCCTTCTCCTACGCATTGAGCCTTCAGAAATACCCTTTCTCAATGCGGTTCCTTCTAAAAGGGAGAGGCGGGAGAGTCAGGGTGGAGAAGGCGGCTCCAACCAGATTTTGCGTCCATAAAGCCGAAAGCTTCTAGGCCTGACATGTACAGCGGGTTTGTGCCCGAGGAGCACAGCTGGTCTACACGGGCCCGCACCGTAGACACCCCACTCCTCGGTGAGCTGCGGTTTAACTTCCTTATAGCAGGTTGAGAGTGCAGGCCCCGTTTGGAGGGGAAGGCGGCGCCCCAACGGGTGTTTTCTCAGGAAGTGCTCCACGAATGGAGAGGAAAGGGGAAAGGGGAAAGGGGAAGGCCAGGCGATGGGCGTTTCATTCATTGCTTCTTTCTCCCCATCCCCTCCTTCGTTCCCCCCCGACTTTCCCCTTTTCCCAGTCGGAGTTTGACGTCGGTCTCCTGGATACCAGGCAGCCAATCGCTTGGTTGCGAAGGGACCAGCGCGGCCAATCAGGCGTCGTTGCTACCTGTGAGTAGTATTTTTAGCTGAGAGGGACGCTCGATTCCACTCTCGATGTAATTTCGTGTATTTCTCTGGGGCAGGTTGTGAAAAAAGCACTTACCGCCCACCGCCACGAGTCCCTCTCTTACCCCACTCCCTAGGTACCCGCACATTTCAGCAGAGAATGATCTTAAACGCACTCTACAGGCAGGCACCGCGTTTATTCTGTGTACCTGCGTTCCAGCAAGCCCTAGAAATGCACACATGCGTGTGTGTGTAGACATGGACACAGATACATACGCAATTTGGCCTCGTGTCGCCACACCCTGGGCACGGCGTGGGCTGGGACATTTGGAATAATCGGATCCGAGTCGCAGCCAGGGTCTCACCGGGAGGCCTGAGGCTGCGGAAGCAGTTAAACTGCCGGCGGGGCGGGAGCTGTGGCGGCCTCCCTTCCCCACCCCCAGCCCGGCTCCACAGCTTTGGGTTCTGCAGCTGCCACTGTCTGGGTGGCCGTTGGCCTAGGCCTTAGGGTGATTAATATTCAATTAATCGGGTGCACGAATCCCGGTCACAGTTTGCCCTTTCTCTACCCCGCCCTGGGGTGGGCTGGAGGCTGATTTAGTAGCTATTCCACGGGCGGGATCCTCCTTGGCTGCAGCCCCACGCGGAAAGGGCATTTTCTGGGTACCCTTGCCGCCCTCCCGGAGTCCTGGGCTCCTCCAACCCCGGTTCTCCTCGGCCGCTTCGCCACCGGCTTCGCCCTCCTCCCCGTCTGCCCGGCGCTCTCCGCCTAAACCGGGCGTCAGCCGCCCTACCCCACCCCTTTCTCTTTGGCACGTCTCCCCCCATAGTCTCTTTCCAAACGTTCTCTTCATTCCGTCCCCAGTGCTCCGATTGTCGGTTCATTGGCCCTCCTGGCGCCCGGAGGGTGCGGCTTCCCCACCCCTGCGTCCACCGCGCGTCCGGACAGGGGCAGGCG